GGCTACTGTTCTTCTCAATTTATAGTAAGAACACAACTAAATCACTCAGATGCTGATAGCTCATAAATGCCTTCCCACAACTCCCCCATGTGTCCAGAAAAAAAGAAGAATTTCTCCCAGGCTCACTGGGAAATAGGCAGTTCAATATCCAGCACCACAAGACACTAAGTCCTAACAACATAAAAAGAGCATGTTGTACCAGTGACAACAAACTATTTATCACAGATTTGCAATGATATTTAGCATTTCATCAGCCTAGCCAAAGCATGGTCACTCTTGTTAAATACAAGCTTGTCAGAGGCCTCAACAGTTCTCCTTTGTGTTTGCTATTGCCCTTTCCTTATTTTTTTTTAATAACCCTTAGGTAGAAGGAGAAGTTAAATCAGTTATTTCCATTCCTCTATGAACATCATTATGTATGGATAATTAAGTACTGATTAATACACCTGCATGCATCTTCATCACGTGCAAAAAAGCATGCTGCAGTCAGCTGCCAATAATACTGCCCAACTTAAGCACCACTTCACATACATCAAAATTCATGACAGCACCAGTGAGTGAAGAGATGCCTTAAGCCAAGCAATTCCAGGGGTGTTGGGAAAATGCTGAGATTCGCTTTTAAAATAAAGAATTCTTAAAAGCCAAGGTACATATACCCTATCTCAAATAGACACCATATACCAGAAACAAAATTCTAGCTTTCTCTAATTACTAACAGAAAGAAAACAAAATAAATGGTATGGCTTTTCCTTCTTATACTATTCAAACAGTATTCAAACTGACCTGCTGAACCACTGGTTTTATGAAAGTAATATTTATGCAGTGGAAGCAAAGAAAGCAGAAGATCACTAGAAGTGATCTAATACCAGAACCCGATCAAGAATGTTTCTGGACCTATTGGGCCAAACTTCTGATAATGTGTCTGCTTTAACCACACTGACATAACCTACCAAAAGCTATGAAGCAGCCCAAGACATTCTCTGCAGTACATTTCACCAGTGCAGCATCACTACTGATTGCTTTTGATTGCATTCCCCTCACATAATTCTAAGAACAATATAAACTACAACTGAAAATAACTTTTTAGACAAAACTAAGATTTCACTAAACCTTCTCAAATAAACCATCCAAATTATGCTGTGCCATTTTTTAGAAGTCGATTTTATGATTCATACTTAGCTGTGAGCTAATGTTACAGTTGGTTCAGTTAATTTATACCTTTATATCTAAAGACTATTACAATAGAATATGTAGAGAGTCTGCACAGTACACAGGCACAAGGCCTTGTATAATTCTGAAAGAGTCCAAACTCGGGTATCCCATAAAAATACTCCAATCTCAGACCAAACATGCAAACCCCTAATTATTTTTAAAGTGCAGATTAATGAAATCTCCAAAATGATTACTATTGAATACCTTATGGGTATTAAAGCCAGACAACATTACAGATAAAGGTAACTTAGCTTCAAGATCTGTGTAAAATGAATGAGACCAGATACACTGCACATAAATGAAATGTAAATTGCTGGGGTCTTTTCAGTCCTTTCCAGTCTGCACTGCTCTCACAGTAACTTCTTTAAAAATCATGAACTTGTCCTTTCCACACAGATATTAATGCCTGCATAGAAGGAAAAATACACAAACGAAGAACCCTATTTTTCAATAAATAAAAACATTTGCAGTATCTAAGAAACTCTAGAAATTGCACACAGGTAAAATAGACCTTCCTAACCTTAAAAGTCTGTTTTTAATGTAACACAGAACTATGACAAATCTTTCAAAATTACATTCAAACTTTTAACAAAAAATGTTCTACTGGGTATTTCAGAGATGTGTATAGGCCCTATCACTAGATTTCTATCCAGCATTATTAGTCTTTCTTTAAAGATTTACCTGCACTGCTACACACCAAAGACATGTACTTCTGCCAACTGCTAGTGAGGTGTACTTCTTAGTGCCCAGAAATGTTGAAGGTGTCCATACTCCTCTCAAAAAAGAAAAAAAATTAACAGGAATTTCTGAAATACATTTCACGAACTTTCTTCTATATACCACGGGGACTGAACTTTACATTTTTACTACGACTTTTAAGGCACAACTGCCTGCCTGGAATTAAACAGTGAAAACAACACTTGCAACTGGTTAATTAATTTGAGTTAGTTCTGTGGCAGCACCATTTAGTTCAGAAAACAAAGACACCTTGAAAGCATGCCAACAATTAAGTCTGAAATATCTCGATAGTTTACAAGAATTTACAAAGAAAAGCCTAAATTCTTTGGTGCATCCCATTTCTAATCATATAAAGAACAGGATGGCTTCTGACCATGCAAATCACCCTGCTTTTTATCTCACGGCTTAGCCACAATTAGAACCTACTTAAGTTTCCCATAGTTTGATGTTACTTTTTCAGAATGTATTGAAGACCAGCATTTAGTGCTAGCTTCTTTGTTAACAAACCTACATATTGATGCACATAGAGCCCAGATACATCAGAGGTGCCAAATGAAACAGAGGAAACAAGTCTTTATCAGTTGTTCCACCCACAGTTCTCTAGAAACACCCTCCCAAGTCCATCCTTTCCGAAACTCTTTCTCTGTACAAAGTCGAAACCATGATTCCCTGCCATGATTTAACCAATTAAACATTACCAGGCGCAGTGAAGAAACTGCCCAGATCCTAATGCCGACAAACAATTCCTAACGGGAGCCGATACAGTTACACCTCCCCACAAACACAAGCGGGTTTTGTTCCGGCCTGGGAGAGCTGAGACCCTCGGGAAGTCCCGGTCACACTTCGGGAACAACCCCGGCTCCTCTTTTATTTCCTTAAGCTGAACTTTCCGCCTGCCCGTCCTTCCTGGTTTCGGGGAGAGAGAAGCGGCCGCGGGAGCAGGGAGCCGGTAAGCAGCCACCGGGACCGGGCGGGAAGTCCGGAAGCGAAACCGGGAAGGGAAAACAAACACAGCCGAGCACGCAGAGGTACCGATGGGGGAGGAGAGCGGAGGGCAACTGAGCCGGTCCTCGGCGGGGAAAGTCCCGGGGTAGCGCGGGGTCGCCAGGCCGGCCCGGGCGGCGGGGGAGAGGCCCGGGCGGGCTGAAGCGGCGGCGGAACGGGGAGCCCGGCTGGCGGCCCAGCCGCGGCCCTGGCGCCGGGGCGCCCCGGAGAGCGGGGCCCGCCGCCCCCGGCCCCGAGCGCCGGAGACGGGGGAGAGAGAGAGGGAAGGAGGAGGGAGAGAGGAAGGGAGACGGCCCCAGAGCAGGGCCCCGCGAGGCCGGGCGGCTCCTCACCTCCAGCGCCCGCCGCGCAGGAGCACAGCAGGATTATCGTCCCCGCCAGATCCATCTCCGCCGGGCGCAGGCCCCGCCGCCACCGCCGCCTACCCACGGCACATCCGCCCCAGACCGGCGCCGGGCGGGATGGGGAGGGGCGAGCCGGGCGCCTCCCTCCGCTTTGTCCCCCGCCGCTCCGAGGAGCTGTTCCGCCCACGGAACGGCCGCCGACCGGCCGGGACCGACGGCCTCCCCGGCAGCGCGGCCCCTCCCTCCGCTCCGCGCGCCGCCGCTCCCTCCGCCCGCGCGCGCGCCAGACGCCGCCGGCGGGCGGGGCCGCGGGGCACGCCCAGAGGGCGCGGGACGCCCCGCCCGCCCCGCGCGCAGGGGGCGGGGCCCGGCGGAAGGGGCGGGTCGCGGACTCGCCCCGGGGCGGGGCCGCAGACGGGCCGGGCTCCCCCGCCGCTTCCGGCGCGCCCCGGGCCGGCACTGCGGGGCCGTCACCGGAGTACAAACATATCGTACGAGCTGCCGTCCTTTGTGCCCTTACCGGATACATGGCTTTTCCTTGCAGAGAACTAACTTACTTTTAGAGTTTTGCTCTGGTTTCCTTCATCTCTTACCAGACACACATTTTGTCCTTGCACAAACTAACTTACTTACTTTCAGAGTTTTATTTTTCTCCCGATGCTTTACATATTGTGAAGTGTTGTAGTGTCCCCAGTGAACAGGGACTTGTCATTCTGATTGTCTTGAACAACTTTCACAATTCAAGGGTACGGGAGAATCCTCCCGTGGAAATATAAATGTGAGACATCTGAACAAAATGTTTCCTCCCTTGTTTGTCCTAATGCTAATTCTTCCATCAACTGTACCTCCTCAAAGATTTTTTTTTTTATATATTTGAGTCTGTGCCAAGTTTCTCAGTTTACTGTCAGCCCTTTATATTTGTGCTTTTCTATTCCTATTGCTATGTCAGAATAAAAAACAACTTCCCTCTGAACACTGATACAGGTGAGAGAAGGTGTTATGGAAATGCACGTAGAATGTAAGATTAGAGTGAATGTACCTCAGGTAAGGCTGCAGAAGTTGATGCAAGTGTTTACAGACTTCAAATTAGAGAGCTGCTGAGAATAAAATGAGAGGATATATCCTTATCATCCCAAGACTATTTAAAATTTGTGATTAAAAGCTGAAGATTTCTGTAGGGAGAGGAGAGGTTCACTGGGGTAAAGTCTGAGTAATACACCCACATTAATTCTTACAGAATCACAGAATGTTAAGGTGTTGGAATGATCTTAAGGAACATTTAATTCCAGCCCCCTGCCATGGACAGGGACACCTCCCACTAAACCAGGTTGCTGAAGACCTTCTCCAGCCTGGACTTGAACACTTCCAGGGATGGGGCATCTGCAGCCTCTCTATGCAACTTGTGCCAGTGCCTCATCACCCTCACAGTAAAGAATATTTTCCCAATACTTAACCTAAATTTCCTCTCTTTCAATTAGCCTATACAATCAAATGGTTGAAGTTATCTATTATACTCGCTACGGTCGCATTTTTTATAGTACGACTGTCTAAGAAGCCGCAAGGAAAAGCACGGAGCACCCTTGGCAGAGCCGGACTCACCTGTTTCCCTCCCCTTCCCGCCGCCCGCCCCGCCCCGGGGCCCCCCCGCCCCGGGCCCCGCCGTGACCCGCGGCCGCTCCCCCCGCCCGCACGTCCCCGGCGGGGCGGAGCCGGCGCCGCTGCTGTGATGGCGTCGCGGGCGTTGCGGGCGGAGGCGCAGCCGCTGCGGTGCCAATAGAGAGCGGAGCGGCCGGGCCGGGCATGGAGAGCCTGGCGCAGCCCCCGCCGCCCCCGGGCTCGCTGCAGACGGGCGGCGGGGGCGCTGCCAGCCGGCTCCGCCTGGGAGAGGCGGCGGCGGGCGAGGGCGGCTGCAGGGAGGCCGAGGAGGGCGGCGGGCGGCGCAGCCCTTCCCCTCCGCTGGCCCCCGCTCCCGCCGCGGCCCCTCGGACCGCGTCCCCCTCCCGGGCCGCGGAGGGTGGTGAGGCGGCGGAGGGCGCGGGGCTGGCGGTGCCGGAGAGTCCCGGAGCGGCGCCCGCCTCGGAGAGCGGTCCCGCGGGAGCCGGCTCCGGGAGCAGCGGCGCTCCCAGCCCGGCGGGGGAGGAGTCCCGCAGCCTGGACTCGCTGGAGTCCTTCTCCAACCTGCACTCCTGCTGCCCGAGCAGCTCCGAGCTCAACAGCGACGCCGACGAGGCGGTGGTGGCGGGGGCCTCCTCGGGGGGCCCGGCTCCGGAGCCCGAAGGGGACAGGCCGGCGGCGGGCTCCCAGCTCCTCTCCGCTTCCAAGGAGCGCTTCCCTGGCCAGTCGGTCTATCACATCAAGTGGGTCCGCTGGAAGGAGGAGAACACGCCCGTCATCACCCAGAACGAGAACGGCCCCTGCCCGTTGCTGGCCATCATGAACGTGCTGCTCCTGGCCTGGAAGGTACGGGCGGGCGGGCGCCATGGCGGGGCCGGGCTGGGCCGCGCGGGCGGCTCGTGTGGCGCCGGCAGCGTTCGGGCTCCTGAGCCCGCGCGGCTTGAGGGGCTCCGCGGGAAGTTTGTGCTGTGTAGGACAAGGACGTTGTCGAGAGCGCTGGAGGGGAACTTCTGACAAGGGCATGTGGCGATAGGACAAGGGGGAATGGCTTTAAACTAGCAGAGGGCAAGTTTAGATACAAGGAAAACATTCTTCCCCGTGAGGATGATGAGGCACAGGTTGCCCAGGGAAGCTGTGGGCGCCCCATCCCTGCCAGTGTCCAAAGCCAGGGTTGTTGTGTCTCTGGGCAACGTGGTTTAGTAAAAGATGTCCCTACCCATGGCAGACGGGTCTGGAACTTGATGATCTTTCAGGTCTCTTTCAACCCAAACCATTACGTGATTCTTTAAAGAAATAATTCAGGCTTATTTGTGCTGTTAAGCACATGTCTCGCATATAGAACTTGGAAAACAAATACTGCCGTGCAGTGTGTTGCCAATATACTACTTAGATGCTGCTGCCACATATAGACTTACTTTGTTGTCTTAAAACAGAAATAAAATATCTAGATTATGTTTACTAACTTGCACAATATATACCATATAATAGTTTACTGATGCGTACAGGTTTCTAGTAAGTAAAGATTACTATTTATAGTACTAAGCACATAAGTTGTATTTTTGGAAAATAGGTTAGTTTCATATAATAAAGTATATGTAGAGTTGTACGAAATGCAGAATTGTACAAAATACGGACTCGTACAACTAACTGCCTGAGCAATAGGGACACATTCATACAGTTATGCAGTATAGATTGTACTTAAATTAATGAATAAATCAGGTAGTGATCAAGTAAGCTTTGAGACCTGGAAGTTCTTGTGCTCTGTAGCCATTGTGAATGGGACTTCCCATAGTCTTCAAATAGTTTTTTTTCTCAATCTTTTAAGTAATTAAGCCATAATGTAGTTATATTAACATGTCTATGTGAAAGGAGTATCTGTTGGAGGAAAACTGTAAGGTTGTGTGCATTGCAAAACAAGGTTGAGGGGCACGTCTCAGGAAATGCTGGCAATTCAGCCCCGGAAGACTGAAGAGTTGATAGAGTCCTGAAATAGGAAAGCTTTAGAGGAATAGCTTTTATGTTGTAGTAGCAAGGGGAAGAAATTTGGTATTGGAAGAGTAGGAGGTTGTTCGCAGTGTGAAAGGTTACTTAGGAAAAGGTCAAAGTGGAAATATGTTATGAAAAGAAATTTGTTTAGATGCAGGTGGAAATTTGTTTAGGTGCAGAAGATTAATGCTCTTGGTTGAGTTACAATTTCTACACATTTTTCTGAGCAAAATAGTTCAGACATCAGAAGGAAAACTCTGGTACAATGATGTTGGTAGTTAAGCATTAGTAAAAGCAGTAGAGGAAAGTTATGTGTAACTTTAAGGTATTGCCTTATGTAGGTTCTCCTATCCTCAGGAGGGTGTGAATGTTGTCACAGGCTTCAATATTGAACATTAGCTTTCTGTGCTCCCTCTTTAGCGACTAGGGGTGACTTGAAAAACTTGTAATTCCTTATCATTTAAAAAAAACCTGTTAGTTATAGGATCTTCCTTTTTAACCTTTGATTTAATGAAAGATATAAATGGGACAGCACTGGTCCTGTTGTTTGAATTCAAATTTTTGGAGGTTTTGTTCCTTAACATTTTTCATTTTCCCTCTGCTGCTGCTCTCCAACCAGAGTTTTAACTGACATTCTGCTGGGATCAAATATTACATTAGTGAGAATTAAGGTAATACCCAGGTTTATAAATAGGCAAAAACCAAAATACCCCTTGGGAATGCCCTGTTGTTTCTTATTGCTCAGATTACAGGAAGTTTTCTTAGTTCTATGTAAAACCTCAGCAGAATTTACATGAGTTGCAGACAGGCAGCTAAACTGGTGAAACTGTCATCACTGGTAAAACTGTCATTATTTACAGGCTTGAGGGTTTTCCTGTTATTTGGTTATATATTGTAGATGCTTGTAATTGATTTTCCTAATTACTGCCTCTACAAATTGGCCTTTCTTCTCCCCAGTTCACAGTTGAGAACCACATTCACAGTGGTTGGGGTGGCAGCTCATCTGTACATCACTGACAGCAGCGTGCTACCTGAGAGGGCTGAGGATGGACATCCACCTTCTCACTCCTCCTGAACAAAGATGAGCACTAGACTGGGCCAAGTAATTGTAACTTGGGAACAAGAAGGCACATTGAAAGATGAAAACAGGCAAAAGTAGAGTGAGAATACCATAGTAAATACTAGGTGAAAAAAAGCTACATGCAATGGGAAAAAGAACATAAGAAGGAGATGAGGAAGAAAAATAGAATCACAACAGGGAATAACAAGTTAAACAGTTACACTTTGGGTTCTATTCCCTGTATCAGCCATCAATTTTCCTTTTTAGAACTCTGTCCTGACAGGGTTGAGAGTTCTGGTCATCCTGTGGATAGATCTGGTCTCAGCCAAATTAAATGCAGTAGTGGTTTGGCAGTTGGGGTTTTGGAAATTCTGAAATAGTAACACCCACTGTGACTATCCAAATTCCATTTCGAAAATAACCAGATTTTGGAACTAAGCTTGTGATAAAACTGCTACGTCTCTTTTATCCACTACTTTCAAAGGATACATAAAACTCTGAGGTGGCAGATTGCAGAAGCTGTATTTTAAATATTAAAAATATGAAATTACTTTTCTTTTGAAGTGTTTTTGCAGTCTGCCTGTCTAAGTGTAACTTGCAGTTTAGCCTATACGAGGGAGAGCCAAGGAGTTCTGCTACAGGAGTGTTAAGAGAAATGTTCTAAGAAGAAAAACAAAAGCATAATGATATCAACTAGGAAAATAGCTGTTGTGCAGAACAGCTGTTGTGCAAAACAGTGTCATAACCACTTAGACTTGTGTGATGGAAATGAAGAAGAGGTAGAGATTGAAACAAGCATTTTTAAATATATGTACAGGCATGAGTTATGTTCTCCTATGTAGAATAGTGTGGCACACTGTTTTTCAGCTTATTTAAATCTGGAGATTGCTCAGTTTTAGCTCAGGCCTGTGGCTCACTATGTGGTTAAGCTTAGCAACGCAAAGTTGGCTTTTCTAAGTGCCTTTTGTGATCTTTGTTAGACCTGGTTCATGCAACACTTTCTGATAACTTCTGGCATTTCATTAAATGTAATTTGGGGTGGGGGGAATGTGGCAATCATCAGATGCTAAAAGCTTAGTGAGAGTGCCATGTGATTCTGCTCTGTGCTTAGGTAGGATGTGATGTCTTGTTGCTGAAGAACTCTGAACCTCAACATGTTGCATAGAAATGACATATCTGAAATGTCCAGGGAAGATTTTGAAACATAAAATAAGCAAAGGGAAAACATTATACAATTAGAATAGACATAAAATTAATATCGTCTTGAGAAGTGTGTGCATATGGAATATCTTGTCCTTATGTAGGAGAGCAGTGATATTGCATATTTGAAAATGTTTTTGAAAGTTTTTTGTGTCATAATCCTCTCAACAAATGGAAGGAGCTGTGTTCCCTACACACCTAGTTCTACTAAAATTTTGGAAACTTTTAGAACTGTATGAATTACCTATTTGGGTATCATAACAATTATGTAAGTAAATGTTATATAACCCTTTTCTTGCTTAGATGTATCCAAACTGACGTGCAGAGAAGAGGTAGAGTAAAAAAATTCTACTTAGAAATTCTTAATTTTAGGTTTCCATGAAAAGGGCCCTTTTGAGAGGAGCTGATCAGAGTAAGGTGCTGCTGATGTGCACTGGGTTTGTCAGAGGCTGCAGTGGTGGTGCCCGCTCTGGGGGCTGGCACCGGCCCTTCACACGTGCTGTGCTGTCCCTGCCGTGCTGCCCGTCCGTATGGCCGGAGCTGGCACAGATTGCGCAGCGGGGCCTTGGCAGCCTCCCTTCCTCCGCACCTGTGGGACGAGCTGAGCGTGCCCGTCCCGGCTGGAGCCGTGCCCGGCACAGCTCCGAGCCCACCCAGGGGCTGGGGGCACCTGCCTGCCGGGGACACTGAGGGCATGGAGTGGCAGCGCACGCTGTAGGGCTGTCGTGTCACAGGCTCATGAGCTGTTCTGCCAGGCCAGCGACACTTATTTGCAAAGAATATGAATTGTTTTTTGTCAAAGCTGCTTGAAGCTACCCATACCTCTCTGGAACACTGTGTTCACAGGAGTTGCATGTTTTAGATAAACATGGTTTGAGACTATAAGTCTTACATAAGATTTATTATATAAGCCATTAGAAATTTTCTTGGACTCTTTTGATATTCATAGTATTTTCAGAAGTGTTATGCTCTATGCATGACTGTATCACTTAATTTTTTTTTAAGCCCTTCTGTAGTGTGGAAGAATACAGTGGAAAATTAGTATTATGTAGTTTTGGGGTTTATAGTCTAATTCATAGAAACTGTGTAAGTTTTATTAGACAATCTATTCCATATGAAAATCTGTTTACCCCTCTTGTCTTTTAATTAAAATATGCCTCAACTGTATCTCATGCTGTAGTTGTGTGAGAAGGACTAAGTTTCGCACTCCTGAGTGTAGGACGTAAAATGTATCTAGAAAGAACCATCAGGATGAAGGACCAGGAAACTGCAGTTGAGGGGTACAGGAAATGGGTGGGAGTTGAGGAAATGCATTTTTCCTAAAATGTGAAGTTGATGTAAAATCTAGCAACTAAACATTGAAACCTATCGTGAAAATGTGTCCCTCAAAATAATAGATTGTTATGGACAACAGCAGCTTCTACTACTGTTGCTTACGTTGTTTACTTCTGTTGATTTATCTGGATAATGACTGTGGTTCTGTATGATGTTTTACTCTCCCTGAAGTTCTAAGGTGTTTTTCTCTCCCATTTCCTCTTCACTGTACATTTCCTGTCACTTAAGTACTTGCAATGAAGCCCTGAACAGCTGGGAAATGTCATGTTCTCTCTATATCCTTAAGTCAGCTCTGTTCAGAAGTACTTAGAACTGTGTTGGAACCCCATTAGCCCACTTTAAAGGTGTGATCAAGGTCCTATACACATGCCAGCCCTAAAATTATGCCATGAAATAACCAATTAACTTTGCTTAGCATTTAATCAAGCAGTTAACTTTGAGATCTAGCTTGCTAAAATATCCAGCTTTGAGATATCCTGGAAATATGAGTAAAACCACTTCGCTTTTTCTGCAGTAAAAAAATAAATGGTTAGCTTTACAGTTGTGAGGGAAAGTTGCATTTGTTAACCAGTGATATAAATCATATGTTGTGCTATTTGTACATAGAGCTTAAATATAGGTGAGCTTTGTGCTTGGTGTTTGTCATGTAAGCATGCTTCCGGAGGTTCCTAATGTGGTGCAGAGCAGAACCCCCCAGGCAATGCTGGCTGAGCTGATACAAATGGTTTAAATAACTGATAAAAAGAGCTAACTTCATTCCTGAAAGAATCATCACAGGAGCCCAGTTAACAGGTGAGGGAGTGGTGATTTTCCTTCATATTGTACTGGCACACATGTGCTGTAACACTTCAGGCAGGGCTGGTGGAGGTGATGCTGTTCTGTGCCTTGGGGGCTGTCATGAGCCCTGGCTCAGGGGTGTGCACAGCTAGTTTGCTGAGACTTTAATGCTCCAGTCCCAACTGTGAGTTTAAGAAGCAGCTTTTTGAACTTGTAGTCCTATTGTTTACATGGCTCAATTGAGTGCACTATGTTTAAAGTCTATATCCTCCTGTGGTATTTCTTCAGATTGCCAGAAGCATGTCCTTGTATGTGTTTGTGCTTTGCCTGTTGCATTTCTTCCTGCAGTAAATGAAAGTGTTCAGCCAAAATGTTTACCCAGGATGTTGGAAGAGATGAGGATGCTAGAAATTTTTACCTCTGCCAGGGTGGTTGGTTTTAGCACGTGATGATGGTGGGAGTAGATCAGGAAAGAGGGGAATAGAATATTCACCACAAAGTTCTGTGTGTCTGGTCTGCTCTGTGTAGGGTTAAACCAAATGGTTAAACCTTGGAGTGTGAACATGGGATGAGAGGCTGGAAGGTCATTTCCTTGTACCTGCACAAGTCTTTGGCTTCTCTGTCCATGCACCTATTGACAATAGATCCTTTAGAGACTTCGTACACAACAACTTTTTGAGCTAATACTAAAAATTAATACTCTTAATACTCAATACTCCATTAAGAATTTTAATGAAGGTAGGGAGTCAAACACGTGAGGGGAAGTTTTCTTAACAGTTCCCACTCTGTTAATTCTGAGTGCTTGTAGTTGAGCCACTGCAGTGAGTGGTGTGAGCTCCTGTGAAGTGGAGGGGGATGCTGGAGAAATGTTTTGGTGGGAGAAGGGAACACTATGCAGAGATGTGCAGATGGGAGAAAGTGCTGTGTGCGTGTGGTTTCTCTAAAAACCAAAGTGTCTTTTTAATATCTTCTGGCTGCTGTTCAGTAGAGGTCCAGTATGCTAATGGCCTTATAAACCAGGTGAGGCAAATGTAATCAGAAGTCTTCTGTCTAGAAATACCATGCTTTTTAAATGGTAGTGTTTGGTGTTTTAAAGATAATGTACTTTTACTTTGACAGATTAAACTGCCACCAATGATGGAAATCATAACGGCTGAACAGCTGATGGAATACTTAGGTTAGTAATTGCAATAAATCACTTTCACTTGTATGTTGTACTTTGTAGCGCATAACAACATAGAACTGTTTTATGTATTTATTATTTTCTTCAGCTCTTTATTTAATTCCAGAAGCATACTTACAGTATTCAGTTACTCATGCTTTTCCTTAAGTGTTTTTAGAAGTTTTCTGCACTGCTTTCCAAAGTGATTGGTCTAGTTGATGCCATTGGTATGGCTCACTACACCAACACATTGACAGATTTAAAATTATTTGTGTCTCTAACAGTGTTGTTTAATTATAGTTGACAGAAAGTAGTAATTCAACTCTGTCTTTAATTGTCTATAGTAACTATAATCCTTGGAAGTATGACCCAATTAAAATAACAAAAAAATTAATGTAGTCCTCACAGTGATTGGGGTCTCATTTGCAGATATTACTCTGGGGTCATATTCAGTGTTCAGTAAAACTGCAGCTCTTTGCTTTGTATCTGACAGGGCTGGAACTTTAATAACTCAGATCATCCAGGTGTTAAAAGTGCAGTTGTGATGGTACTTAAGCTGTATGTACTACTTTTCCTTCCCTTGTAGCCTGACAAATATAAAATATTTGAACTTAATAGACTAGGTTTGATTTTTCTTAAGCAGAAGAAAAAAATCCTTACAATATATTCTTTCTTTTTGCTTGTAAAGAAAGTAGCTTGTTCTTTTCTGAAGTAAAGTGCTTACTCTTCTGGTTGAAGAAAAAAAGTTACTTACATAATTTTTCCAGAAAAGTAAGAAATCTTGCTCCCTGTGTCTAAACATTTCTTATAATCGCATTGATGACACAATACTGTCTGAAGTCACTACATAATTCCAGTTCTCTAGATGTGTATTCTTTCTTGAAGGCATATTTTATCTTCTGGAATTATCTTACTAAATTGAATAATAAATCTGTGTTAAAATTATTTAGGTTCCTATTCACTCAACAGGATTAGCAGTTACAGTTCTTCTACAGCTGAAAAAAAAAAAAGCCAAAACCAACAAAACAGCCTTCAACCACTTTCAAGTTAAGAGTATAAATTAGAAAACCTATAATAGTATTTTTCTGAGTTTAGTAATGGAACAAGGGAATAAGTACAAAAACATTGAAATAAAATCTGGGAAGTGGATACTAGTTTCTAAAGATGTTCTAAATCTTGAACCTTAGTGTGTTGATTAACTATTAACTAATTTATTAACATTGTGTTGTAGACAGTGTTGTGGTTTAAGCCCAGGCAGCCCCTTGCTCACTCCCCTGTCAGTGAGATCAGGTAGAGAATGGGGAGGGTAAAAGCCAGAAAACCTGTGGGTTGAGTTAAAGACTCAATATAGGGAAAGCAGAGCAAAACAGGGAATTAATTCACTGCTTCCCACAGGCAGGCAAGTGTTCAGCCATCCCCAGGAGAGCAGTACTCTGTCAGACTTGGTGCCTTGGGAAGGAAAATATCATCCATCGCTCCAAGTGTTCCTCCTTCTTCCCCCCACTCCATATTCTGGGCGTGATGGCAGCTGGTCTGGAACAGCCCTGTGCTCAGGGGGGTCACCTGTCCTGGCTGTGTCTCCTCACAGCCTCCTGTGCCCCTCAGCCCTCCCAGCCTGGCCCTGGGAAAAGCAGGAAGGGCCTTGTCTCTGAGTGAGCCCTGCTGAGCAATAACAAAAACATCTCTGTTACCAGCCCTGTGCTCAGCACAAATCCAAAGCACAGCCCCACACCAGCCACTGTGAAGGAAGGTAACAATATTCCAGTCAAAATCAGCACAAGTTTTATAGAATTACTGGTGTATAAAACTTGGCAAAACATTCACAGTATCAGTCAGGATAAGTGGTTGGCTTTTTAAATTGTGTGCAGAATTACATACCTTACTGTGAACAGTTTGACCTTCTTATATTTTTAAGCTGAGGCACAGAGGGAGGTTAGTTTTTGAATAATGAAGAGATTGATATGATACCCCAAGAGATTATGAAATGTTGCTTTAGTAACAGTGTTGGCCATTTGAATTTTATTTTTTAATATGATCTTACTAAGTTTTTATGTTCATATTTTACTCCATAATTATAATTCAGGTTATAAAACAATGGGATCTCATTAATTTGGTAGAAAACTTCAGTTGTGGTATTCATTATCAGTCAGCTTCAATCAGAAACATGCATAGAAATGTTGAAGCTTTGATTGTGGAATAAATTTAATTTCATTTTTGCTTTCTTTTAGGAGACTACATTCTTGATGCAAAACCTAAAGAGATATCTGAAATTCAGCGACTTAATTATGAGCAGGTAAGGAGCTGCTCCTAAAACACAGTTGCTTATGTCTGAGGAAACTATGTTTCTCACCTAGGGTTTGTCACCTTGTTAAAAGCCAGAAGATACAGACCACCGTTTGTAGTTTGTTTTTGTCTGGGCTTGATGTAGAGTAATAATTTTATGTATGTGCTATTAGTGAAGAAAAACTCAGTATCTATTAACAGAAGACACTTTCCCCCCCATTATAAAATAACAGTAATGAAGTAAAATGGGTTTTATGGAGGAAGTGTAACACAAAGGTACTAATAAAGGTGTATAACAAGGTGGTTGCTTTTTGGAGGCTTTTGTTGCATGTTTTTCAGTTGCTCTGTTCAATGGTGCCTGCTAGAGTTTCTCTGAGGATGTAAATGGAGTTAGAGAGATCTGAGTTCTTATGCGTGATGGACAAAAAGAGGTTGATCCTGTGTTATGAAAGGCAATATTATTTGCACTGGCCACTATTTATATGTCTCACAGAATTTTTTTCTGTACTGAAGATAATGCTGTTAGTTTTAAAAGTTGTTGATTTAGTATTATCTTTTCCACGCTCTGTCTGTAGTCATAGCTGGTTTTTTGGTTACTCAGGGAAAAGTGAATTTGAATTTTTTAATAGGTGTAAAGTTTCACGGTAGCTCTGTTTATTCTTAGATAATTTTTTCTTGTTCTCATTCAGTGTAGAAAGCCAAATTGAGTAACTTGAGATTGATTTTTATCATATTCTAGGAATTACTTTTGTAATAATTAAATTGGCTATTTTTTTCCACACAATTCTGTGTTTAGAAGGTTATAGCCATAATCAGCTTATAGGAGGGTGATGAAAACTATTATGCCTGTTGAAAGTATGTCTGTAGCTTTCTTATGCTCAGATATATGGGTTTACTGTGGGTTTTATATGGGTTACTATAAATGTCACATACCTGAAGTTTTTAACCATGTAATTTCAAAGAAGCCTTCTGTTCTGGAGATTTTCTAAGTTGCTTTGAAGGTACGGAAGTAGATAAAGTAGAAGTGATAATGTTGAAATTGTAGTGAGAAACTTCTGTGGTTTTCTGGTCCATCTGGTGTAATCCTGCTTTGTTTGCCAAGTAAACATTAACAAAATAAATGCAGATATTGTCTGTAGATGTATGGTCTGAATTTGTGGATGGCTAGTGCTGACTTACTATGGACTTCCTATTCATTCAGCAGAGTAAGATTATGGCAAAATTTCTTTCAAAACAGGTTTTTATATTTGATATCTGGTCCCTCCTAAAGACATGCTCTTGTTAAGGTGGTTTGGTTTGCTTTTAAAATTATGAAAACTTAAAAGGTAAAGCCAGTCTTGCGAATTACTTCACAATCTTGCTAAAGTCTAAACCTTGTGACAGCAAAGTTGTCAGTAAGATGAAGCAACATATTGTAAGGAGCTGTTCCATTCCTGGTCATGGAAACTTGACAGAACAGGGCAGTTAGAGGGCTGCAAGCATTAAAACTCTCATTTGTAGCAGCCATGCTCTAGTGCAGATTCTGATCAGAAGACAACAGAAGCAACTGTCTTTAACCATCAGTAGTTTTAGTCTGTGGATCTTTGCTGTCTCCATCTCCTGTCCAGTCTGTATTTCTGGTCTTCGTCATGCTATTTTCCTATTGTTGTAAGGCTGAATTCCTCTTAAACAACAGAATGTTGCAAAACCCAAAAATCCCCAGACAAGCAATAAAGTGCCTAAGTTTCCCCAAATCTTTTGCACATACTTTCTGACCCTTTTGGACTTTTTTCTCTTAGTGGAAAATTGTTTTTCCTGCATGTCGGGAATTTTTTTATCTGTTGCTTCAAGATAACAAAGCACATTTTCTTTGGCTCATCTTTCCTTTCTGTGATTGAAACTTTGTAACTTGGTAATTCTCCTTAAGATTCCATTGGGATCACTACTATAATAAGTGCTACTTTCATTACTTGTTTCAACAGTAGAATCTACAGACCATTTAAAGGTTTGCCCATAATAAGATAGAAAATGGTTTTTTATTAAAGAAAAAAGTGGTGAACCATTAAGATTCTGGTTCTCAGTACTGAACTCTGAAATTAGAGTTGGCAAGTGTGTCTGTGTAGATCAATCATTATGTAGTGACAAGTACTTCAGCCTGGCTTGTAAGGGAAGGCTTTAAAGGGGAGAAGAAGCCTCAGGAAAAGTCCCTTGAAGACTCCCTTACAATTCAGTTTTCTTGCAGACGTCTGGCTTGTGGTTTTGGGAAGTAGATGTAAAAGCAATCAGAACTGCCTCCAATTAGTTTATGGGTGTAAAAGAAGAAACAATCAGAGGTGATTGGAGGGAGTTTCTTACATTTTATATATCTTCTGGTACAATGTATAAAGTGAATGTGCATTTAAACACCCTTTAAAAATTTTTTTTTTAAGTGTTGAGTTGATGAGTACTAAATGATGAAGGGTTACAAGAGTAACCACCAAATGTACAAAGCTCTGTTGGGTCATCTGTTCTTTCCTTTTCTTTCTGTTGTCAGAATATGAGTGATGCAATGGCAATTCTACATAAGTTGCAGACGGGTCTGGATGTCAATGTGAAGTTCACAGGTGTCCGAGTATTTGAATACACACCTGAATGCATAGTGTTTGATCTTCTTGATATCCCCTTGTACCATGGATGGTTAGTGGACCCTCAGGTAACTTACTCTGTTTCAGTTATTGAAAAAAAAAGTTATTCTGATTGTTACTGGTGGGAGGGGAGGTATTTGTGAATTTTAACAAGTCAATAATGAATACAGTCATGAATTTTTAAAATCTAGTCAGAAAAATTGAGGAGTGAATACAGACTGTATGTTTTTTTAGTGCAGGAACCTTGCAGAGCCTGGGTCTGTAGTCAAACTACTTTAAAAGCCTCCTATGACTCTGTAAAGGAGAATTGTTTTTCTGAGGGAAGTAGCAAGTTGCCCCAGATACGGTGTCCCAGTCATAATTTTTGAAAGCTTATTAGAGAACACTTGGAAGGAATGCAAAGTTACTTTCCTCCTTTTTTTAATTCTGATTTATTAGTCACTGCTATTGAGAAATGGGGATGGTAGAACTGGTTGGAAAAATCTGCATCTTTAGCAAACATGTAATTAATTTTTAATTATATTATTTAATAAAAAATAAAGTGGTATTGTTTGCTTAGGGGGAAACTGGTGAGTTTGGCTGGAATAATAATGCCTAAGAGTTTTTCTTTTCATGCCTTGTTGTTAAGAGTTGCTGTTCTCTTACCCTGGCTCAGCTACCCAACTCATGCTGTGTTCTCTATCTGCCTTAGCTTTTGATGCTAAGGGTTAACTGAAGGATTTAAAACAGGATATGAAACAGCAAAATGTGTAACACTCTGGGCTAAAATGTTTTGGCCTAGATTTTTTAAGGGGATAACATCCTGTCTTTATTGAATTCTTATTATCTTATTAGTAATTGCCACTGGCTTACAAGCGTGTTCTGTTCTTCTCAAAGATAAATTCTCCATGTTGTTCCTTCCTGCTGCAGGTTGCTGACATAGTAAAAGCAGTTGGTAACTGCAGTTATAATCAGCTGGTGGAGAAGATAATTTCTTGTAAACAGTCAGAAAACAGTGAACTGGTTAGTGAAGGTAAGTAATGTTTTTCTGTATTTTATCAAAGTATGTGCCCTGCTAAATCTAAGTTATATATTTTCCACATGGGTGATACTGAGTAGAGATACAAGTGGGAAGAGCTGCATTCTGTGTGCTGAGCTGCTGTCCCTGGGCAGGCACACAGCACTGTGCTTGTCTTCTCAACTTCTCTGATGCGTGCTCTTGATCTATTCAATACATTTTTTCAAAAGCTGGCAAGAGCTTCCCCTGTTGTGGCAACATTCAGATTTCAAATTAGCTGTCTATCTCCTATAATTGGAATATTAATTATATACTCCATTACAACAAGAAAAAATATGAGTAATACTAGAAGTGAATATAGCATTTCTGAACATGGGAAGGTTTGTTTACGATGCGGTGGTTTTAGACCTTTGAAACTTGTCCCTTCTTTTTATGTGTTCCCTAAGGATTGTGATAATATGGGGATGTAGGGGAAAGATAGGAAAAAAACTGCTATTGTTACCAGGTCTTTTATTAGCAAGTGTGTAATAGATACACATAACAGTATGTTTTGCCTTTGTAGGGTTTGTAGCTGAGCAGTTCCTCAATAACACAGCTACACAATTAACATACCATGGACTGTGTGAGTTGACTTCAGCTGTCCAAGAAGGAGAGCTTTGTGTGTTCTTCAGGAACAACCATTTTAGCACCATGACCAAATACAAGGTACATCCAGCATTTTTGTCTTTACTGTTGTGTTTTGTGTTTCCAAGCAAGTTACAGTTTTCCACTGTCTTGAAATAAAATTAAATTCCAAGTTGTTATGTATAAATATGGCTTGCAGTGAATGTAAGGTCCGTAGCAAGTGTTACTTAGGAACTATTGATTACAGTGGTTTAGTCACTGGGATCCATTACTACTTTAAATCTTCTTGTAGCCTTTCCCTTTATGTTCAATTTACTCCCTGTGTTAACTCTTTGTATTTATGTATAGTTGTGTACACTTCTTACATGGCTTAAATTTTCTTGCAGTTTGTGATTGGCCTGATAAGGTTACTTTAATTAATTTCTGGTTTCTGAGGATCTAAAAGTTTGCATTACATTTGGGCCAGTAGATGAATAGGTTTATATGCAAAATCCCAAACATTTGGAGAAGTGAAATGAGCTACAATATTGGTTCCCTTTGTTAGGGAAGAGAATTTCTTTTAATTATTTTTTATCTGTATCCGGGGAAGCAAAATGGCAGCAGTTGTGAAAGGAGTATTCCAGGATACAAAAAGCAAGTGTCAGCTTGGTTAGTGCTTCTGGGACTCCTTCCTCCATGGAATGGAGAATTTGGTTTGGCAAGTTTACATTCATTTATGGAGCATCTCCATGCTAAAACAACTTTACTTTTGCTAGGATGGTAGTGTAAGAGTTTTTACCCTTGTATAGGAGGCTTAAAATTATGTTTTGGTTATCTGTTCTTTAATAAGACTTTCATTTCATGTACATTTGTGCTTATGAATAATGGTAGTAAAAGCAAAATAAAGAAGAGGTGTGTAGCATGTAAAAAAGTTAAGAAACCACTGGTTTTGCCATTATGTGATAATACCAGATACCTCATGCGAATGACACTTTCATTTCTTACTACTAGTCCTTTTTTCCTCCCTCAGTTAATCTTGACTGTCAGTGCTAATCTTTGGCATTTTGAGTAACTACTCATATGCTGAGCTAAAAGTCTGAACAGTCCTGATAAATAATGATTAACTCTACAAGCAGGTAACATTTGATTTTCTGATAAGAGTACATCTGAGATCTGTTTTAAATATGTGTAAACAATGCCACTTGCTTAAAGCAGTAGGGCAGGTAAAAGGATCTTTCTCCTCCCTTCTTCCATTTAAATAACCCAAAGTATGAAATACATCTGTGTGGTCAAATATTTCCTGATGCAGCTCATTTAAATCACAATTTTGAGTATAGTTTTTCCCCTCTCTGCTTTTCTAAATTCAGTTCTTGGATTAGCTGGTGGCAGCTCGTACACTGTTTTACGCTTTCATTATGGAGTGGGGCAGGAAGAATAAACCCCAACCTCCATTTCCTGGGTTTAATGCTCGCTCTGCAGATGGAGTTTCCTCACAGTTTGAGCAATAGTCAGCAGTAGCTGGACTATGGAGAAAAGTCCATCCATTGGGAAAACTGGAGATACAACATATGTCAGGAAAAAAGGAGGTATAGAATTTCTAGGGCAAGAACGATGCAATTATTTTTTCTCTTTCTCTAATACTGCCTTTCTCTCCTTCCCTTCCAAACCAATACGTGGAAACGTCTAAATAAAGCAGTATAAAGTTAATCAGAAGGGAATTACACATTTAATAAGTTATGTCCATGTAATAAAATAAGTGTATTTTTAGAAACACAGTTTAAGTAATTAGTGATTATTATTCTAGCTAAGCTAATGCTTGAACTTTTATTTGGCAGCTTTAATGTACAGCTGTACATTAAGGACCTGTACACTGGTGATATTTTTTAAGTGCAGTATGGGTTTTTTAAGGCTGATACTTTAGTGAAAGGACTTGGATTCCCATACCATGTCCATTTGCCCAAGTAATCATTTTTTTTCTACTTCCTGTCCCTTCAATTGCATACTGATAGTCTTGGCTCATGTGATGATACAGTCTTAATTCTCAGCAGTTAAAAATGTGATTTTATTTTTTTGCCTTTGCTTTTCATTATGCAGATAATAAATGCATCAAATGATAATTCCCTAGATCAAGGAAAAACAGGACTGTAAAGAGGGGATCAGTTTGGTAAGAAGATCTTAGTTCAGTTGGATGTTTTTCCCACAGACTTGTTTGTAATAGAACCTGTGTTCTTTACTGAAAAGTATCAAGACACTTACCTGTTTGGATTTTTAATTATGTGTGTTTTCTACTTTATAAATGTTGTGTTTCTTCTTCAGAACTCAACAGATACTTTTATTCAATACAAAGGGTATTTCATAATTGCACTTTTTCCTTGGACATTTAAGATTGGCACATTAGAGGCAATGAATATAACTGCTTAAAAACATGTTTATTTTTCAATTTCTTAATAAGTGTACAGTTCTTATGCTGAGGGTTACTGTGAATTCAGTAGTACATACTTTCTTTAGAAAAATAGTATATCTGAATGTTTTAGCTGTTAGAGACAATTAAAACAACACTTACTTATCAACTTAAAACATCTTCACAAAAATGAAGGGATCTCATCCAGAAGTCCAAGAGAATGTTTACGTACTATTCAAAACATAAGGCTTAAAGTGTTTGTCTTTACTCTGTTAAGTTATTGGGCAGGTGTTTGGTTTTCTTCTTCAGTTTTCTGAATTGCTGGAAACTTGGTAATTTGCATTAGAACAAGTAGTTTAAAAACATTATTTAATCTGATTATGAAATTATCCAAGGAAAGGGCATCTAGTAACATCTCCTGTAGCCTGTATTTGTGGATTTCAGAGAGGGTTGTTTTTTTTTTGTGCATACCAGAAGACTGAGAGATCCCTGTTTGGGAGAATAATCTTGCTTTATCCTCAGCTTTATTTCAAGGTTTTTAAATGTGAAACTATAAAATCTGGGCATTGGTCTACTAAAGCTAAATATTGATTCTTTGGATAAATGATCAGTCATAACTTTGATAAAGTAAACTGTGTCTACAGTAGTTATATACTTGGGAGTTTCATTGTTTTACTCCCTGTTGACTATAGTTAGTAGTAGATACTTTTGCTGTCTATTACATGCTGGTATTTTGGGGGGCAGCATTAATCCACGAGACTGGGTATTTGTTAGAAAAACCCCACTTTTAAAAACAAAACTAAAAGATAATCTGGTGGTGCTCTAGAAGTGGCCAGTGAAGATTTTTCTGAGGGTAGGAACATTTTGTAAAGCATGACAGCTGCTCCCGGTGAGGGGCATTTGAAAGCCATTTCTGTGTGCAGTGGTTACCTGAGAGGCCCGAGCTGGGCCTGGGGAGCTGCGCACAGGCCGGGGCCCTGTCCCCGTTCCCCCGGGGCCCTGTCCCCGTTCCCCCGGGGCCCTGTCCCGTTCCCGGGGCCCTGTCCCCGTTCCCCCGGGGCCCTGTCCCCCGTTCCCCCGGGGCCCTGTCCCCCGTTCCCCCGGGGCCCTGTCCCCCGTTCCCCCGGGGCCCTGTCCCCCGTTCCCCCGGGGCCCTGTCCCCCGTTCCCCCGGGGCCCTGTCCCCCGTTCCCCCGGGGCCCTGTCCCCCGTTCCCCCGGGGCCCTGTCCCCCGTTCCCCCGGGGCCCTGTCCGCGTTCCCCCGGGGCCCTGTCCCCGTTCCCCCGGGGCCTTGTCCCGTTCCCCCGGGGCCCTGTCCCCGTTCCCCCGGGGCCCTGTCCCCGTTCCCCCGGGGCCCTGTCCGCGTTCCCCCGGGGCCCTGTCCCCGTTCCCCCGGGGCCCTGTCCGCGTTCCCCCGGGGCCCTGTCCCCGTTCCCCCGGGGCCCTGTCCGCGTTCCCCCGGGGCCCTGTCCCGTTCCCGGGGCTCTGTCCCCGTTCCCCCGGGGCTCTGTCCCCGTTCCCCCGGGGCCCTGTCCGCGTTCCCCCGGGACCCTGTCCGCGTTCCCCCGGGGCCCTGTCCCGTTCCCCTGGGGCCCTGTCCCGTTCCCCCGGGGCCCTGTCCGCGTTCCCCCGGGGCCCTGTCCGCGTCCCCCCGGGGCCCTGTCCCGTTCCCGGGGCCCTGTCCCCGTTCCCCCGGGGCCCTGTCCGCGTTCCCCCGGGGCCCTGTCCCCGTTCCTCGGGGGCCGTGTCCCCGTTCCCCCGAGGCCCTGTCCCGTTCCCCCGGGGCCGTGTCCTGTTCCCGGGGCCCTGTCCCCGTTCCCCGCCGGCCCGGCCCGCGGTGTGGAAGTGCCTGGGCAGGGCGGCTCCTTCCTGCCGCGGGCCCCGGGCAGCGCGGAGGGCGGAGGGTGAATTGGGTGAATTCGTTCTCTCGGTCCCGGGCAGTCCCTGCCGGGGCTGGGTGTGCCGCGGAATGTGGCTGTGCCTTCAGCGCTGGGAAGGGAACGTGCCTGGCATTCGAGCTGTGCTACAGAGCCAGGCTGTAGAGAGGGACTCTGTTTTCTTATTGCAAGTGGAAGAACAAACCCACGATGAGAGGCTACATTGCAGCTCAAAGCAGAAGAGCCAACTCCTCTTGCTTTATATGAAATTATTGCCAACGGTTCCATGAACTTTAGCAATATTGTGATAGTCCTGGTTGGGTTTTTTTGTGGAATCCAATTTAATTGTACTAACACGATGTAAAGATCAGAGAAGTTGGTTAAAAATAAGGGAAGGATAACTTTGGATCTCTGATCTGTGATTTCCCATTTTCCTTTCATTCCAATAATGTGACCAGGACCACTGTCCCTTATCAGGTACTGTGTTGGTTTGCTAAGCTTTGTTCAAGTGAAGCACAATGTTTTAAGGTGCAGTTGCTATTGGAATTGCAGTGGTGGTGTTCAGGTAATGTGGTGATATGTAATGCAGTTTATTGTCTTTCATTAGGGAGCTGTGTTACATTTATTTTTTATTATTTACTCTAAGGTGACATTTTTACAATCAGTGTTCAACTGGGAAATTCTTACATAGAATATGAATTGTATTTAAGATTTGAAACTATCTATTTCTACTTAAGATAGAATGGTCTCTATTTCAAACAAGTGTTAGCTTTAATCGCTCCTTAGATGCTAGATTTTAGTTCCATGCAAGCAATGATATACCTTAATATTTGTGTGCGGAAAAATGAAGCTTATAATAGTTTGGAGATAGGAAAACTAGTATTTTCACTATTTCAGTACTACTAAGCTACTGAGTTTATAGGCTGTAATTAAAAATGTATGGCATAATAGAGGAAAACCTGAGAGACACACACACCACCCCCTTTTTTAGGTTTTGAGTCAATGTACTGTTCAAATTAAAACTTAAAAGTTCAAATACATTTTATCTTAAAAATTCTGGGATTTTGTTTTACATCTTTTTCAAGACTTCTTATATACACAATGTTGTGAAATGGGTACTTTCTGCAAACTGGAAACGTTGGGAAATTACTTCCTTTTATTTGCTTCAGGTAATTTGAAGTGTCAGGACAGGAGTATCATTGAGTTCTTAGGCAGGTTTCCAAGTGAGAGATGATTTCTTAGATCATTTTATGTGATCAGACTTGTTGCTGACACTTGTACTTATGTCTGTGAAGCCCCCCTGTGCTGGTTAACTCCCATTCCACAGCTTGAACATCCAGTAGAACAAAACCTGTTTGGTTTTTGTTTGGGTTTTTTATCTACTCTATTTTACCTCATGTGTAAGTGCCTGTCATGGTATTAGGTAATACTGTAATAATTATTGTATGTGAGTCTTCAAATAATATTTTTGTTACATCAAGTGACCTCCCAGCCCCAGGAGGGGCAGCTGTAAACAGAGACGGATTGACGAGATGTGAGTGGAATTTCAACATCTCCCTTAGAGAGTTATTTAATGACTTCAGAGGAGTTCTGTATGTGTTGAGTATGGACAGAGTTTCCATTTCTTGCCTGTTTAGCCTTAGAAATCATTAGAACAGGATCTGCCTCTTGCTTTGGTACAACTTCAGCACAGCAATCTTTGAAAACTCTTTGTGTGCTGCTGGAATACAAATACCAAATTTTTTGTGGATGTCACAATAAACTTGATTTTTACAGCTAAATCACTGCTACAAGTTTTGTATTGAGTGTCTTGATCTGGTACATTCAGTCATACTAACGGGAGCTTCAGTCTTAATATGCTCTATGGTCAGTAACAACATTCTTGATTTGGAGTATAATCCTAGAAACATGATAAAAAAGGTAGGATGAAATAAATTGATTGATTTAAATGGAAATTTAAAAGGGTATTTTATGCTGCTTTCCTGTCCCTCAGACATGCAGCACCATCTTCTTGTATTGGGAGCCTAATTCAGTTATTTCCCTTTGATTTCAGCTCCTCTCCCACTCCTTCATCCTAAGCTTGCATTTCATTCTTCCAGTGCCTTGCTAACTGCACTTGTTAGCATTGTCTCCTGCATTCCAGACCAGCCCATTTTATATTTTCAGACTTTGAAATCAAGAAATTTGGCCTATGGAACTGTAAAGTTATTAAAATGCCAACAAAAGCAATTATTGGTAACAAGTGAAAGCAAGAATCTTAAATTTAGAGCTTTCAATTGACAGAGACCTCAAATTGTATCAAAACTCATGAAACATGAAGATGATTACCATTTTGAAATAATGCCTCTTGGATTGTTTGGAAAGATCACCTTTGTCTCCATATCTTACCTTTGGAATTTAATCTGATTACTCCTAAGATTTAATGTTTTTGTTGCCAGGTTTTAAGTCTACTTCTTAGGTGTATTTCTAAAGAGCTGTCAAGGTATATAGCTTGAGATATATTAATATATTCATTAATGTATAATATATTGATGTTTTATATTAATTTCTAGTCAATATGAACTTCCATTAAGAATGAAGAGTTGCAAGATGGAATACAGAAATGGTGTGGCTGTTAATTCAGCAGTGAATTTATCTGGTGGTTTAATGCTGTATGCTGATTTATTTAATTACTAAACGTGCTAAAAACTCTAAATGAATGTTTTATTGGAATGCAACATTTGTATCATTTCTTCTACTTAGATTGTATAAAAGTATTTTTTTTTTAGTTATACAAGTTTTCCTTGTTCTTCTGTATAGGGTCAGCTTTACCTGCTGGTGACAGACCAGGGCTTCCTTACAGAAGAGAAGGTTGTGTGGGAAAGTTTACATAATGTGGATGGTGATGGGAATTTCTGTGACTCTGAATTCCACCTGAGGCCTCCATCAGACCCTGAAACTGTCTACAGAGGGCAGCAGGATCAAATAGATCAGGTACTTGATTTCTGCCTTTCATTTTAAGTTTGTACTGATTTTTAGTCATATTTATGTGTAATTCCACAGATGTGTATGCATGTGTGTATACTCATACATATTTGGGACTATAAAACTCCTTTAGGTAATTAGATTGGGGCTCCCAAAAGTGCCACTTGAATGTATTAATATGGTTTTGAGGGAGGAAAAGTAAGACCAACTGAGTAATTTGGAAAATGGGATTTTAATCTCTCAGAATCCACTTCTGACAAGTCCTCACTCAGGTGAAATGTTGCCTCTGTTTTGTATATGGAAACAGAAGCAGACTGTGGAATTTCTTCCTACATAACAAACTCCATTGAGCTCATTAAGATTGTCATAGCTGAACTTTGCCTTTTGCTGCCCACTTGGCTGAATGTAGGACAGACCCCACAGCAGACTGTGTGTCATGGTGGGTGTTTGTTATTCTTGGTGAGACACAGAGTTTGCAGAAGTCATGTCTGAGGTGGGGCTGAGGTGTACCAACCAGTTAATGCACAAGTGCAGAGCAAGACTAAGTTCCATGAAAATCTTACATTCTGAACAAGTTTATAGTGATCACCATGAATGTTTTTTTAAATACTGGGGGAAAATTAATAAGATACTTCTTAATAAATTGAAGCACTGCATCTCTCAGAATAAAGATCTGACAGATAATTTGTTGCTGTCTAGGTAATAAAATTTAAAACTAAAAGCAAAAATTTTAAATTAGTTTTTGTATTTTCTGTGCTGCAGCTTAGGCACTGTGAAAGCAGACAGTTCTGCAGTTGAGGCTATGGACAGGTTCTGAAACAAATTCATGACCTCCATTTGAAGATAAGGCTGTGAGAAAATTGTTGGTACTGTGTAGCTGCACATGCTGAAAAATTCACTTGATACAACTTGACTCTTTTCTCTGTGAAAAAACATTAATTCACAAGTTTACTCTCTAGGATTACCTGATGGCATTGTCTCTACAACAAGAGCAGCAGAATCAAGAGATTAACTGGGAACAGATCCCAGAAGGAATCAGTGATCTAGAGCTAGCAAAGAAGCTCCAGGAGGAGGAGGACAGAAGAGCTTCTCAGTACTATCAGGAACAGGAACAAGCAGCTGCTCAGGTCCAGGTAAGAAAACAGTACTACAGAATATGATCATCAATTTTAGAAAGTACGAGTAATTGCACAGATACATCTGTGCTTGTACATATTTCAGCCTGAGGTGAATATAGCAATTTTGAAGAATACACTACAATTGTTGGAATATGCATGTAGATATGGCAACTGCAGACATTTAAATACTTCAAAGCAGGCTTAACCTTTTAAATTAGGGTTTAATTTATACTTAATTTGGAATGATGGTATGAATTAATATGTCAGGTTATAAAGATAGTATTAGCTAGTATTTTACATTATTTGCAGAAGAGCATTCAGCTAAACTTTTTAATAATAGTTAAAGCTTTGTCTGTATTTTGTCTTGTAGAAGTTTGTTGCTGTACATTTTTAGGTGATTCAGACTGTGATCTCATGTGAATCTATTCTATTGTTTTGAATTAGGCAATTCAGTTCCTCCCAATACACCTTTCTATCCTATACCCGTAAGCAGCTGATTTCAAAATCTTCTGAAAATGTTGTTTATGCACATGTCTATCAAAAATTGAAATTGAAGTGAATCTTCTGTGCCAAAGACAGTATTTAAGTTGAGGTTTTGTTTTTAGAGAATTCTTAACCATTGAGGGCTATTAGAATTGCTTTTATTTACAAACATGTAAGAAATAATCTACATAAAGCCTGCATCTTTGGCCTGAAGTATTCAGAACCATTAACTGATAAGTTTAAGCATGAAACAAGAATTTTGACAGGTAAAAGTTGTGTTATTTGCACTGTTTGCTGCTTTAATGGAACCAGCAGTACCTAGCTAAGACAGATTCATACCTGCCAAAGGTAGAAGGAACTGAAGAACCTGCTGAACAGGATTAAGAGCCTGCGTGTTTGCAGCTATGAATGGGTAACAGAGGGAATAGATGATGAATTAACAAAACTTATGTTGTCTTTGTATACCACCCCTCTTGCCAAGTTATTAAAAGTTTCTAGTCACAAAAAGCTGCTGCCTTACCATTATCTCGCTGTCCATGCCAGCACTTTGAAATGTGAAATGTGGATTTGTACTTCTAAGAGAAACTCAGAGAAAACTCCAGTACAATAACACAGAAGCACCAGAAAATGCTTGAAACCATGTTTTATTGAAACTACTGATCTGTACATGTGGACACAACAGAAGGGACACATGAAACTTGAAATATATTTTCAGCTGACTTAATTTTCAAGAAATACACAACTTTGTGGAGGTCCTGGAGTAGGTATACCAAAAACCCTACCTGAACTCTACTGGTTTGCATAATACTTAAACTTTTTGTTTGTGAACTTGACCACACAGAAGAGTTCAGGCTGTATGTGCAATAGTGCTGGGTTTATTTCCCATTTATTTTCCCTACACAGCAGGTACAAGGTGCTGCCTCTCCAGCCAGCACAAGACAATCCGGGAGTAACGAACGCAAACGCAAAGAGCCTCGAGAGAAGGAGAGGGAGAAGGAGAAGAACAGCTGTGTTCTCTTGTAACAGAACATGGATTCCATCTGGAGCCAAGTGCATGTCCTCAGAAGCAAAAACAAGGAGTAGAAAGGAAGACAAACCTGTTACATGCCGCCTGTGCCTGATTACCCCACGGATTTTGTTCATGTTCCAAGAGAGGATGGATGACTTTGTACCAATCAGACAGACTTCCTTCAAAGTCATAGTGCGTGCTGCTCAAGAGGGAATTCCAAATCACAGTTGGACGCGGCTGTGCTTTGAGTTAGTCATAAGAAATATTGCACCTTGTAGCTGAACACACAACTCATGGCAAGTCCTGTGTCATAGTGACATCCATTACTCATTACATCAGTTAGTAAGCTATTTTATCTTCTACTCTAAACAAAGGTAATTCATTTTGTGTAAGGCTTTTTCCTGAAGTCTGTACACGAGCACAACGGAGTTCTGTGTTACTTCCTTAGTATGAAACTATATCTTAGGCTGGGTATAGTCTCCACAACACAAGAGCCCAAATAACAGCTGGGCACTGCCTCCTCAGTGTGTCCAGATTTCTTTGCTTCTGGATCTGGTATGTTCTTTTTTTGAACCCAGATTTATACTTGTTACTGCTATCACGGCATCTCCTGGCCAGCTTCCTTGCCCCAAGAATATGTGACTTGATAGGCAGCATACAAAAATTGTCATGAAGAAAATGGGGCATTTATTAAAAAGCAAGATGAATATTGTTTGCTTTTCTTGCAATTACAAACTGGGTATGGCAACTCAGATGTTATCAGGGTTAAACAAGTAATTTTATAAGTAACTTCTTTTTCTTTTATTATTTTTTTCTCTTGTAGGTAAACTGGACCAGATAAGCTTTTATTTATTGACCTCTCCATATGATAGATGAATGATGAGAGGAAAGTAAAGTCTATAATAATCGTTATTCTATATAAGAATGCAGACTTAAAATAACTATCTGCCTTTTATCCAGAAGTACCTTGAACTTCAACATGACGTCAACGTGTCCACTTGTATATTTAAGCAAGTGTACTGTAGTTAAAAACACACTTTTTTGTTTGTTTTATAAATCATGTATTCTTAAAAAAGCACACTTCTGAAGGGGTGAGAGAGGAGTGAAGCTGCCTCTCTGAGATGGTTTGAAAGGTGGTCAGGTGTAATATTTTGTTTTTTAAATCACTAATTTAGAATTTTTGGAAACCAGATTTTCTAATTTATGGGAACCAAATAAACATGTTGCATCTTGTAGTATTTATAGAATGCAGAAACAGAACACTTGATGAATTTTGAGGGAACCACAAATCTTCTCTGCTTCCACTAAATAACAATTAGTTAACAATTAGTTCTTGCTGAACCTTTTGATAAAAATTTCTATTTAGTGATTTGTAGATACTTTTGAAAAAGGCTGCTTCTCCTGGACAAGTTCTGTATCCGTGCTCTAAGCCTTAGTGTTCACACAGATAACCTGGGCAAGCTAAGGTGGAATATGACATTCCTGCTTCCAGGTGTTTGGAGAATGTCTACAAAAGTGGGTGTCTGACACAAGTCCATTGGTAAAAAGCCACTTCGCAATTATTTCAAGTAGACTTGCTGCACTGGTGGCAACCAGTCAACACACACAGCTGTTACCAACCTAGAATGAAAATGAGATAAAAGAAGAATGTCTTACCAACTAAAGGGCCAATTTGTATCACTTTTCTTCCATGCCTTTTCCTCTTTTGTTTTTCTTCCACTTTTGTTACAATTTTCCTTTTATAATGATGAAGTAAGGAACAGAAGGAGGGCTCTAATATGTAAACTGTAAATTTAAAAATATCTTCTCTAGAAAAGTCATGCCCAGAGAAGTAATTTTAATACTTAATGTATGCAGTTCAGATAATTTTCTATGTCAAAGCAAAGGTTGATGTCTTTTTTTCCTTTGCAGCAGCCTAACTTCTTCAAAAATTAATGTGATGAAGGATCACCAACATAATGACTTAGCTACTTTAAGTAGATGAGAAACTATTCCAGTAGTGTCAATAACAGAGACTTTAAGCCAGAATGTTGTTTAAAAACATTCTGTTACTAAATTTTTTCCAAATTTGTGTATTTACTTTTATTTATTGACCTTGAAAAATAAATATGTTAAGCTAAGTGTTTGTTATTATTTTCAGTGACAGTATCGCCACTTTAACTCCTTTTGGAAGGAATCTAGCTGTTATGGCTATGGAGTTTATCTCTTTGCCTAAGATACTTGTTCGTATTAGAAGAATTAATGTAACATTTCCAGATTCAGACAGATGTGCCTGAAACTTAATACACTGTAGTTAGAGGAATTCTGGTCATTTGGTCCCAGAGGAAGAAGAGTTAAATGTAGTGCTCATCATGAAGTTGCAACTCCCAGATAATTCAGTTTCAATAGAGGAGTAAAGGTTTCAGGAGTAAAGGTATTTGAGATGGAAGGCATGCTGTGAAAACAGTCCTCTGTTAATATCCTTTTTTCTTTACAGGTCTTGAAGCTTTGGAAAAAAGGTAAAGAATTCCTGAAATCTAGGGCTGCATGAGTTGAACTTGTTAGTGGCAAAAGTTATAAGCAGTTGAGCTTCCTAATACCCGAAATGAAATTCACCTGGAAGCTTAATGTATGCCCTACTGGGAGTAACCATTCCAAAAGCTGTCAGAGATGGTATCTCTGACAGTGTCTGAGGATCAAAAAATATGTGTTGCATAATGCAGTCTTGGAGTACTAGGAAGACAAGATCTACTTTTGTTACTTTTGTTTACTTAATTTGCCTTTTTTTCCTTTTTTTCTTTTTCTTTTTTTTTTTTCCTCCAGCTCATGTTCTGGCAGAAGGGTATAGATTTATACTTTGAATCTGTTTATACAATTTAGCATGTACATGCTCCAAATACCTACATAATATATATGAAAGTGTCCAGAAAAGTAGATGAGAACTTGTTTTCCACTAGATAAATGTTAGCACATAAAAGAGAATCATAGACTTTTTGTTGTTGCATTATAGTTGTGACATAAAAAAAGCTACATACAAGTATTCTTAAGATTAGCAAAAAACAGAGCACTGCCACAGAGATAAATGTTTTTCTGTGAGGCACTTTGTACATGCTCAAATCCACCAGTCTTCTTCTGACACTCATGGAATCTGCAACCCAGCAAAGCAGATCCAAATGGTTGTAACACCAGGGAATTAAATTAGCATTCCTGAAAATTCACTTAAACACAATACAAAAGCTACATTTTGTTCATATAAGAAATGAAGTGTTCAGAGTTTCTGTGCAGAGCTGGTTTTCTGGCTCCCAGGAGTTTACACGAGCACCAAGGGAAGCACAGGCTCTGCTGGGATTGCCAGGCAGGCTCTGACTCACTTGGTATGTCACATTATTGTCATATTTCTTCAAATTTGTATACACAAGCTCTTGAAAAAATTTTCCAGTATGTAATAAAAGGCAGTTTTGAGGTCTTGAAATTAATTTTCTTGTGCATTCAGCAGGCAATACTAAAGTGAAAGGTAAAGCTGATGTATTTGTAACTGAACCATTCTTCATTCCTGCTCCACTGGTTCTGTAACAAAGTCAGCTCATTGCTTGGATCAGCTCTTTGCATTAGGATGCTTATTAGAGAATCTATACAAACTACATCCTTCAATACAACATACTGAATTAAGAGCTTATTTTATATAAAAGTATATTTTTAAAACTTGCTGCATTAAACAGGTGACTCAGAAAATGCACATTAAGTGATGGAGAAGCCTCATTAGAAAGCATATTACAGAAAAGCAAAAATAACAAGCTGTAGTTTGGTTGCAGTAGAATGCTCCCATTTTTTTCCATCTGTGCTATGATGAACACCTTGGGAGCAAGAAAAATCCAACTCTCAAAAATGTTCATTCAGTGCAGGGATAGCAAATGTAACATGCAAAGCCTGAAAATGGCATTTCATCTTGACAAATGCATATCCTTTTTTATTAAGCATAACTAGCCAGAGATTATTAGTGCTGAGTGGGAAAAGGGGAAGAGGTGAGTGACACCTTCTGACACCATGTCATGTACAGAGTCTGTGTGACATTCAGTGCTCCTGGACAGCTCCCTCTGTTCACAGCTTGCCCAGCAGGAAAGCAGTGGATAAAAGCTCAGCTGTGGTCTGCTTTGATAGGGAAGATGTGCCACAGGAGAATGTTAAGGAAGAAAGAGAGGCTGGAACATAAAAAGTCCCTGTGCTACCTCTTGAGATTGTTTAAGGCTTTGCTGGTTTTTGGACACAAATAGCTGTGGCACAGCGTGTAGTGGCCACATTTTCTCACCTAGGTAATGCCCAGCAGGTTCATTTCCTGGCAGGTTGGCAGTGTCTGTCCCTGGACACACTGCTCTTCACTCTCACTGTGCTTTAAAGTCAGGACTAGCTGTGCTGATCCTCTGATAGCTCCAAATATTCTTATTAAATGTCAGTTGCCTACTGTTTGGTTTCGGTCAATGTCAGCTCCTGTCACTCTGAGCTCGCTTTGCTGGAGAGGTCTCTCTAGAGAACTTGCTGAAATCTGCCTTCCTCATTCCTTTTCTGGTTTGTAGGATTACTTGTGTTCAGGGAGAAGCCTTATGTGCTGAAATGGGCAGTTCCTTGTTTTTCAAGGTTAAAATCTTTAAATACGCAGTTAATTATCTTTAGAAAGTCAAGATTCCAAATAGTGTTATTTTTGGGAAATCATAGGGAATGATTCAGATGAAGTTTTAGCACTCAAAGGAACTGAAAAGTTTGCTAGCTCAGTCTACACAGTGCTTACAAGTAGTGTAACACTGCTGAACTCCAAGGCAGTGCTGCTCTGATCAGAGCTGAGGCACTGCCCGTGCTGCCCTCCCGGCAGTGAATGAGAGTCAAACACTCAGCCAAATGTACAGAGACCTTGGGGGTGGACAGGGACACAAACTCAGCTAAGTTTTATTATTTTTTTTAATTACTCTCTTGAACTTCCTTTAGTGCTGACCCAATTTCAGTTTAGGTCCCTTCTACCATAAGTGATACCTGTTGTGAAACATATGGGGATTGATCTAATAGTGTCTCATGAGCCAAAGCCTTTAGCTGAGACAAACTGAGGTTCTCCACCACAGAGCTGGATGAAATAATGGAATGCCTGTCTGTCTTGAAGTTCATGTTCTCTTGTTGAAGCCTTTAGTAAAATTTGGATGGGCTTTTTGAGTTAAAACCTCAGCTGTAACTTTGAAAAGTTAAGTTTATGCTAAGCAGTTTTGAAAATTTCACCTTAGTTTAACATTTTTAGATTTATTCTGAATGTGTTTGCAAAAAAGCTGAAATAAATTTTTTGTCAGAAAGCCCATGATGGCTTTTTGTTCCTGCTCACTGGCACATGCCAAGGAAAAGGTCAAAGTTGCAATTAGAAGAAACACCAGTGTGTCTTAAATAACTAAAAACTTAAATCAGCTGAGTAATGGGAACACCCTTGGGTTTGCTCATCTCTTGTTTTGGGGAACTCCAAAATATCAATGAAAACAGACAATTTCCTCTCCAGTATTTTGGTATCAGGCCAGCAATAGGTCTGTTAATTTTAGGGCTTTTGTAATTGCAGATTAACCAGAGCCAGAAACTGGTTTATCTTAGTTACTGTTGTGTTCACAACTGAGTTTTAGTGAAGCCCTTCACACTGAAAGTTTGAAACCAGGTTCTCTCTGAGGTAACAGTATTCTGGCCAATTGCATGGGTATATATTACCAGTGATCCTGTTAACTACAGAAAAAAAAGTATTGCTGTGGAAATAAAATCCTTCCATTGCCTGGAAAAACGTAGTAGTAGATGGTGTCTTCAAGACACTGCAGATGGATACAGTGAACCAAGGAACTTGCTTGTGAACTTTAAACTATTTGTAATCCAGCTTTTGCATTTTTTATCATAAATAGTTGCAATAATTACATGTTTGCATTCCATATACTCGGTTTACAGCAGGTATGCTTGCATTTCTGGATTTCTTGCATGCTTTGTCTTAGGGATTGGCAGGTAAAAATAATTTAAGAGAACCCCCTTTAAAAACTGATCATAGGTAAAATGATTTCAAGAGACAAATCTATTGTAGCAAGGGTTTCTTCTTGTATTTTGATAACACTTGAAATCATTAGTGCTGTAACATTTCTGCTGAAAAGTGTGACTGGCAAAGGAGTTACAGTCCAGACTTTGATGAAATAAGCAGGGTTCTGGTTTGGATAGGCTTCGTACTTGCAAAAACATCCCCAATTTATGCAGGTTGCTATCAGATTGTCCTGAACAGATCATAGCACCTGTGATTGGTTTTTCCCTGTGTTTTTGCAGTGTGTACATCTTTTACATGTTGAGCATCACAACTTTGATAGCAGTTCTTAGAACTATAGAAGTATCAAGTACTTGTCCTGTGCCACAGCAAGCTATTCTAAATCTGTTACATCTTGCTCAGTATTATGTTAATTCCTTACAGCAATTCTTTATAAGGGAGTAAGAAATACTGTCAGCAGTTTCCCCACACTATCCTGATAGAGCTTTAATGTTAAATGACAGAGTTTTGGTTTATATTACAGCTTTCAGCAAAACAAGTTCTTATCAAGGTTTTTTTTAATATAATTTTCAATTATCCTTGTATCTCGTCACCAGCTGCATAGCCCTTATTTGTACAACTTGTGATAATCACCTTTAACACACATGTAAGCTTAGTGAAGAAATTACTGATGGAACATACAAAAATGAATCCTACAAAGTCACCCCAAGTTCTCCACTGCTAAGTCAAATATTTGTGGTCTTAACTGCCTTGACTGGGTCTTTTTACAATTAAATGTTTTTTTAAAAGCCCCCCCCCAACCTGACATATTTTAGTAAAGTTCCAAAATACTTCCAGATTAGTAATGTCTTCAAGATGCCACCAGAATTGTGCAATTCCTGTGTTAAATCAGCAGTTTAGCTGTGTCCTCTTAGTCACCCCATGCTTACCTGATATCTCTTAAGTAAAGCTGATGCAAGTGACTCTGGATTTACTAAGAGAGGGGAGAAGTTAAATTTTTTTACTTGTGTTTTAGAGGTGCATGACACAATTAAATCTAGTCATGCAGTATCATTTGTACCAATGTATGTGAATGAAATACTTTTCATCATGTGACACCATTATCCAGCACTGTAATGGCATCTACAAGTTCAACTACTGAATGTTTTGCATTTTAAAAGCCTTAATTGTTTATATTGTATTAATGTGTTTTTAAAGACTATAAGGAAATAACATTTCCTTGTAAATTGTTAAAATAATTTTGAACACAAATAGTTTTCAGAGAAATCCAGTTCTGTATCTTAATACCCCTTTTTGTTTGTGTACCACAAAGCTGTTAAATTCTGTTACCTTTTGAATAGTGTCTCTTGCTATCAGCCTCTCTCTAGTTCAAGGTCTTTACCCAACTGAGATTTATTTTGGTTAACCGTCTTCTGAAACTCATTGTATGTAAATAAATTTAAGTGAGCAAACTTAAATAAATATTTCATTTAGATATTTAAGTTCTTTCCTAATAATAAAGGTTGGATGATATACTTAAAAAACCCAACAAACAATAACCCAACAAAAACCCACTCTGGAAAAAATAGACTTCTGGTTCTCTTCAGCTTTTGATAAATTCTAAGGTTTCAGCAATTTGTTTTCAATCAGTTTTTTCCCCATTGTCTGAGTTTGTTTTAGTATTTTAAGTGAAATTATTACACCTGAACAAGCCTATTTTTAATTAAGTAACTGTTGGAATGCATATCTAGACTTTTACAGGGAACCAAGCACATCTCAAGTTTTATTTTTGTACCTCTCTATAGCTTTGTCTTTTAAGGTTATAAGCTTCTGAATTTAATACATTAGCCACTATAAATTCATCTTGGAGCAGATACTTGTTTGTGTTGTCACATCTGCTAAAGCACAGACTGCAGCCAAATGCTAAAATACCTTTGAAAATACACTGAGAACTTGCACTTTCTCTTGGAAACTCCTGCAGCAAAACCCAGTAAATTGAACTTCCTAGATTTTTCTTTTAAAAATTGAACAAGATGTATTAAATACATCAAGGTAAGTGACACTTGCTGAGACAGTGCATTTCTTTTTGTTTAAACCTAAGTATTTGTCAGGTGTGAATATCCATATAGGATTAATTAGAGGCAGTGCTGCACAGCAGGTTTTTGTTTCCTGAAAGGCTGCTTACTCAAAACCAGTTTAGTTGAACTCATTCTCTGCTCTGCTCTTGATTCACTGGAACACTGCAGGTGCTTAGCAGTTCTTCCACACAGCAAGCAGAAACCAGCATCTTGCTGCCTCATGCCTTAAAAACTTAAATCCTCCTTTCACAGACAATCTGGGTCAGGAAACCCTTCCAGCTCTTATTCAAGGACTATTTCCTGAGCTGTTCTGCTTGAGTCCCCTGTTCATTTGGGTAACCATCCACCACCCAGCTTCCAAATGGGATCCATTTGCTTCTCTCCCTTGCTGAATAGCAGAGTTGTAACTCTCCCCTTACTCTGCCTGGGTGATAAATGAGTCCTGGCCTGGCTGCATGGCATTTCTGTTTGGGCCTGTCCAGAAGGTTTCACACAGACCCTTCCATGCTGTCCCAAACCAAAAGGCTTAAGAAGATGCAGCCTTCTGCTCAAGGCCACATCAGGAGCAGCTGCAGGAGGCCCCAGGCCCTGTAAGCAGAGTTTGTGGTAGTCTGGTGTAAAACCCCAGCTGTTGCAAACTTCACAGAGCTTTGCTAAACACAAAGCAAATGGAAATTAGTGCTTTGGGCCTTGCTTGAGTATTTTGCTATTTTTTGGTTCTAATCTTTCTTCTGTGAGCAAATGTGCTTCTAAGTTTTTCAATTCAGTAACAGTGAGAGACAAGTTTTAGTTAGAACCTAATGGCACCCATGCTTTGAGTTGCTATACCAACATGTCTATTTAATTCTGCCTTCCTTCCCCACAGACTGCTTTAAAGACTTACTAGAAGCTATACAGAATATGAAGGTTTATTTCAAAAGAATACATTTGCAAGAATACACATAAATGCACTCAATGTAACAGTACCTTCTGCAAAAATAGGTTACATAATACCCAGTAATGAAAGAACAAATCTTATTTCTCTACAAATTAGAAAGCAGAGATAATAGTCTGGACAACCTTCAAAATGGAGGTTATTGTGGATGTTGTGAGAAGTAGCTAACTTTAAAGCATGACACCACAGAGCTAATGTTGGCAAATCAAACTACTAGCACACAGCTGCAAACTATCCTTTTGTACAGAATTAACAAATATTTTGGTTCCAATTTCTTTTTACACAGCTCTAGTGCCTCAGGGAAAATGCTTATCAAAGATACACAAAAACTATCCAAAATTACAACGTAACTATGAAAATGCCTCCAAAATTGAGAGGAAAATAATCATGTTAAATTAAAAAAATTTAACCAGGATTTCCAGACAAGATTTCCTGTTCTTAATCAGAGAAAGTTTACAAGAAATTTCAATAAGTTATCTTGAAACCAAACAGCTGCAGATCTTAGAATCTTCGTGGAGGTCCACCTTTAAATGGCTTAAATCCTGAGCCACTTCCCCTCTGCATGGAATTGCCTGTGATCTGTACAACTCTATTAATGGGTGAAGAGTTACTGGAAACGGAAGTTTTAAAGAAAGTGTTACAATACATACCTAAACTCCTGGTGCACAGGTAAAAACATTCTTACATCTCCTCTCACTCAACTGTCAAACTCTAAGTCTCAAAAGAGACTTGAAAACATGCAGGAGAAGAGACTTTGCAAGGAGTCCCTCACTGCTGTGCTGCTGGGCCCCACTGCCAGCAGCAGCACCCCTGGGGAGCCCTGTGCTGGCCAGACAGGCGGGGCTGTGGCTGTGCAGCAGCCAGAGTCACCCTGCTGCTACCCACCCTGCTGCACTGCCTAAGGACACCAGAGCTTGCAGGGGCTCAGTAGGGAATGGAGAGGAAGGAGTGGTTTCTGTACCTTGTATGTGGAGCCATCATGCCCCCTCCTCCACGGCCATCTCCCATTCTCCTTGTGTCATGATAGCCACTTCCTTGAGAACTAGGTCCATGCCATTCTTTCCTTGGTCCAGTTTCACGACTGTGGCGTTCTACGACATGTCTGTCCTCATTGTAGTGCTGGGGAGAAAGTGACACCTAGTCATTCTCACAAAAAAGTGGCTGTTTTACCTACAAAAAACAGGCCTGTCAAGAAAAATAAGCTTACAGCTGATAAATATAAATCTTTCAAGATTTCAGTCCACAGGCTGCTCACACATGGTCAATATTCCTGTTAATTCTCGGTAACAGAAACTTAAGTTGCAATGACCAGTGTGTGGGTATGCAATGAGTGAGGTTCCACAAACTCATACTTTACTCCCTGTTCTGCCCTGATCTCATTATCATTGGCATAAAACTCAGGAAGAAGAACATTAATACTTTTTAAATACTTCAGGATTTAAATAACAGCAGGAGTGAGTTAATCTGTAGTCTTTAAAGACAAGTCATGCAGAAGGATTTTCACTCAGTATCAAATTACAAATTACAATTACAAACTACACTGAAAATAGCAGGCAGTGAGTGTATGGTTAAAGCTCTGAAAAGGTGACAACAAAGTCTCAAAAGCTTTATCATCTACTCCCAGGTATTGTTCTTATCATAAAGATGCCAGACAAGAAGGATAGGGTCATTTTCCTGTCATTTTTTGGGTTATTAAAGAAGAACCTTTACATCAAGAAAACTAAGTTGAAAATAGGCAGAATGCTTGTGAATTATTTTGATGGTATTATATGGTCATTCTTCCAGCACGAGCCTGCATTTTCCAGCCTCTCCTTCATGCACACGAAGACAAGAAGGTGACTCACTTGTCCTCCACCTCTCTCTCCCATTACGCCCCGTTCTCCTTCCCTGCCTCCATAGCCGGAGGCGCTGCTGCGGCTCCCGGGAGGTGCTCCCCTCACGTGGCCGGACACTTCCCTTCCCGACCGATCCGGCCGCTCGCCTCTGTAAAAATTGCTTTCATCAAAATTTTGGTTTCAGTATAGATGAATTGGTACCAAATCACAGCACATGTAGACAGCAGAGATTCCTGTGGATCCTAGCAACCTGCAGCTGACTTGTTAGAAACATTCCTTTAGATCTGTGTGGCTTTTTAAATAATTCAAGCTCACATGCTACTCTTTTACAACTGCATTCTACACAAAAGCCTCCTTAACTCTGTGTTGCTACTCATGATAAGAACAGACTGCTGGGAGTCAGCAACCAGTTCCTAGATGAGATTTAGCATTTGATAACCCTACATATTTTTTCCAATGCTTTTCTTTAGGAGGAGAAGGTCTATTCTCTCTTTACACACTAATTCTTGAGGAATTGCTACTATGGATAAATTCTGCAAGAATCAGTACTTTCCCTGGTTAGTCGGCACATTTACCTGCCGTCCCGTTTGTCTGTGCTTATGCTTCCCTCGCTCTTCCAATTTGTTTGCCTAGGTGGGTTGGAACCGGTTTCTCTGGGATGTCGGCCATGTGGTATTTCTGGTCTGTCGTGAATTATCACTGTTCTCCTTTCATCTCTGTCTCCTCGCACTTCACGTCTGTCCGTGTCCCGGAGTTCACTTCTTGGCTGTGGTGGTTCATTTCTTCTGGACTCACTGAAGGTCTTGGGGTACCTCTCAAAGCCCGGCTCTTCTCTTCGTGCTGTTGGGCGAGTCTTTTTGGCCTCACCTTGATTTACAAAACGATCTCGCCTAAGTTGTTAAAGTAGGAAAGAGTCATTACTTGTTTCCCATTTTCACACTTCTCTGCACGTGTAAGCACATGGATGAGGATATAAAATATCACTCATCTTTGTATTAGTTGTTTGTTACTATGTATGTGGAACAGAAATTCTTCCCACCCCAAACAGTATTTATGTCTACAATTGTAATTTGGAGCTTGAGTTCTAACAGCCAGTTAAACATTTCTTTATGCATTTATTTGTTCCTATTTTGGTCAGTGTAATTTAACCAACTATGGGGCCGCCTTTTTGCCCACTGTGAAATGGGGAATGCTGTATTTCTCAAGTCAGAATTGTATTTACAATTCTATTTCACTGCAACCTAAAAGCAGAATTCCAGAAGGTACAATTACGTGGTCTTCGCTTTACTAGTGGGTACTGGAACCGTGAAGTTCCATCTGTAATTTACTGCACAGTAAATTACACAGGTAATCTACAGAAACTTGTGACTAGATGTGAAAGAGGAAGGAATAATTGCAAAAATCTTTCTGAAACGTCTCACAAAAAAGGCCACCAGGTAGCTAATTTAAAGTCCTCAGAGAAAAGCAGATTAGATTCCATTATAAAAGTGGCCTGAAGACACAAGAAATGTCAGGACAGTACTGCAATTCTATTATATCAGAACTGTGTAAAGCATTTCGCACCACATTCTGTTTTGAACAGTCAGGAGAGAAATCCACAGAGATGCTGGCACACAAATACCTGCTCCATT